ACCACAGTTTGGACTTAAACGTAAAAACATACTCATTTACAGATCATTGTCTTGAGTGCTGGGCCATTAAGTTTCTTTAAATACCATTAATGGTTTTCACTAGAAGACTTACATTAATAAAACAGGTTTACATTTCATATTTCTAACTTCACATACAAGAATGAAACATGCACTGAAATAGAAGATACCCATTTAGCAGATTATAACTTTAAAAATGTTACATGATGCATTTTGCTGAAACTGCCTTTGAGTTATGCATATTCATATTCATAAACCAATTTTAATAAAACACGGGGAGCCTCGTGACCATGTATATGAGAAAAATTATCGTACGTGTCAAACCACGTGTTAAAAAGCAGCCTAGAAACTGACTTATAGACTCTCCAAGGCTGTGTCTACACTGCACCCCTTTTCCAGAAAAGAGATGCAGATTAGACAAGTCGGAATTGCAAATGCAGCGGGGGATTTAAATATCCCCCGCTTCATTTGTATAAACATGGCTGCTGCTTTTTTCCGGCTCGGGGCTTTGCCGGAGAAAAGCGCCAGTCTAGACGGGATCTTTTGGAAAATAAAGCCTTTTCCGAAAGGTCCCTTATTCCTCTTAAAATCAGGAATAAGGGACCTTTCGGAAAAGGCTTTATTTTCCGAAAGATCCCGTCTAGACTGGCGCTTTTTTCTGGCAAAGCCCCGAGCTGGAAAAAAGTGGCAGCCATGTTCATGCAAATACAGCGGGGAAAATTTAAATCCCTGCTGCATTTGCAATTCCGACTTGTCTAATCTGCATCCCTTTTCCGGAAAAGGGGTGCAGTGTAGACACAGCCCAAGAGTCTGTGTGTCACGTATTTTGTATCTTTTTAGGAAAATGACTACTGCAGAAGTGGCTCTGAAATGTCCAAAGTGACTTAAAATATTATTTTCAAGGGTACATTGCAATAGCTTTCAGAACATTGCACCGAACAGCAGTTTCTAGGTATTTTGGAGCAGCTCTGCCAAATTATTCATTGCTTGCTTCTCCCTCTGCTGCTCTTCAGCCAAGGAATAGTGTCTGGATAAAGGGAGAGGGCTGTATCATCTTTTTGGCATGAGCCTCACAGAATTAGTGTTGGATGTGAAAGTGTTGGACAGGAGTCTGTCTAGATAGATTTTTGAGTTTTCACTTGTATATTTTTTTCTGGACAGTTTATGTAATATAACTTGCTTTTCTTGTGATTTTAGTAATTTCATTCTAAAATAAGCCCAATGATTGGTCTCCAGGATCTATCTCTGCATGTCTGTGGCTCCCAGGAGTATCTTTTTATTATTATGATTTTAATGTGTGTTACACCCTTTGCTTAGGTTTTGGCTTTATCCCAGGTTTCCTCTGCATCTTTTTTTCATCTCGTAATTTGTAAGGTATGACCATTCAGAAGAGAATCCCTTTTTGGCCACATCTGCAAAGGTTTCCCTTTAACTGTATCTGTACATTTGTCAGTGCATCTGGTTGCCCATGCAAACTTTGCAGATACAGTTGAAGTCAGTCGAAGATGTGCTCCTTTATTTTCTGGCCTTATCTCTACCACCTCACCTTGGTTCTACAGGTTAATAGAGTCCTCATTTACTCATCCTGTCTTTTACTGCTTGCACAGCTTTCAAAACCTTCTGAATTATTTTGCTTCTCTCCTTTGTAATCGTTTCCCCATCCTTTTTTTCCTATATTGCATGAAGACTTTTAGTATCCCTACATATTTCTTTTTCTATATGTTTCCTACATGTGCACAAAATGACAGTCCTAAAGCTAATCATTGTGATACTCCCCTGATCACATTGTTCTATCCTGAACTCTTGCCACTTTCAATCTTAAGTACAATAGCTCATCCCTTGATTTACTGACCCAGTAGATTAATATTTTATGTGGAATCCTGTAATCCATAAAAAAGATGTTCTTGTGACTCAGGTCTGGAATTGGAAGTCAGGGCACATGAGTTCTACCCCAGTATCTTCTACTTAATTCTTATGTGGTTTGGGTTAAGTGACTTAAGGACATACTTTCAAAATAGGACTCTAATTTTGGGTGCTCAACTTTAGACACACAAAGGTTCTGAACACGTCCAAGACAAATTGAAATAAATTTAGAGAACATTTGAAAATCAGACTTGAGGCATATCAAGCTGGTCACCCAAAAACAGAAGCCACGTTTGAAAGTGTAGCTCTTTAACTTCTCTGTGCTTCAGTTTTCACCATCTCTGAAATAGAGATAATAGTTAGCTTCAGAGTATGCAAAGTGCTTTAAGATGCATATATGAAAGGTGCTAGAGAAGGGTGAAGTAATTGATGGCGATTCTTGTTGTTAATGGCAGATTTTAGAATCACAAGTGGAGAAGGAAGGAATAGCTGTCAGTTCTATGTAGTTCAGGGATGTTAGATACAGTGTAATTGAATAGTCATGTAACCGCATGAAATCTTATCAGTTACATGACTATTTGATAGTCCCCGGGAGTGGGACCAGCAGCTAGTGCGCTCCTCGCTCCACTCCTGGGAAGCCCCCTGTCACCATCACCCTGTGCTACTGCCTCTGTATCAGAGGCAGCAGCTCAGGGTGGCAGGTGGGAATCAGTCCGCAAGGGGAGTCAGTTTAAAAAACAGCTCCCTGCGCAGACCAGCTGCCTGCCATCCTGTGCTAGGGATGTTAAATATCGGTTAATTGAATAGTTGATTAAGCTCATGAATTCTTATCGGTTACTCGACTATTCTATAGACCAGTGGTCTCCAATCTTTTTACACCCAAGAGCACTTTTTAAATCTCCGAACAGGCGAAGATCTACTACCCCGCCCCTTCCTTGAAGCCCCACCCTCTCTATTCTACTTCTGTCCATCATTTGCTATCCCCAGCCCTTACTTACACACTCTGATAAACAGTTTATTTTTAAATTATGCAATGTATAAAATTAAAATCACGTGTTTATAATTATGAAATAAATGGTCTGTTTTTTATTCATGCTATTTAAATCTAAAATGAAGCATTTATAATTATGCATTTTGTGGGGACAGAGTTCTGTGGCTGGGAACAGGGGAGTGGGAACAGAATTCTATGGCTGGGGGGGGGAGAGGGGGGATAGAGTTCGGAGAGTGGGGAACAGAATTTTGTGGCTGGGGACAGGGAATTGGGGACAGAGTTCGGAGAGTGGGGACAGAGTTTTGTGGCTGGGGACAGGAGAGTGGGGACAGAGTTCTGTGGCTGGGGACAGGAGAGTGGGGACAGAGTT